GAAAATCTTTTCTCTGTGGCAAAGTTCCAACAGCTGGTTATTTCACAGAACATTTCTTCAGACAGATCATCTTTTTGTGCAAGTCGGGGGACACCACAAAAGCACTTGGCTTTGTGATCTAAACAGCTAAAGTCTTGTTACAAAGTTTACAGGATTTGATAACTTGTCTAGGTTACTCAACTATTACTGAAAAAATACATATAATTTCCAGGATTTTTTTTTAATTTATCATTCACAAATATTTTCAATGCATTCAACTAACAGAAAAATGGAAGTGATAGTTTAATATAATTGGCTTATGTGTATTATGTTTCCTAGTTTGCAATTGCGTAGTATCTTCTGCTTGTACCCCATGAAATACTCACTACTTTCTTGAAAGAGCCTGTATACCCATGATCCCAAAAGCAGAGCACATCATACCTTAGCTGCCTCTAACCCAGTTTTAAAAAACCTTACAAGCAGTGAAAATCCCCAGCTTCCATGGGCAGCCTAACTAGTCCTTACTGTGAGAAGGCTTTTCCTGGTGTCTGTCCTATACCTCCCTTCCTACAGCTTAAGCCCATTCCTTCTCACCCTTTCCCCATCACACACAGCATTTTTTGCCTTTCCATGCAGGTGTTTAACACGCGCTTACTGTACTGCTTTGGTATTTGGCAGAGACATTTGCCAACAGTACAGCATTTTGTATCCTCAGTTACCAGCATTAAATACTTTATATTTCTTTGTGTTCTGCTAATTTGGTCTTCCTCCATAAGTTGCTGAAGATGCTGATATTTTCCTGAAGGTGAGACCCATTTCAGGAGATACAGCATCTTGCAGTGTGTAGATAGTACAGACGTTATTCTATAAAAAAAATTCTCCATTTATCCCAGACTTAAGCAGCTTTTTCCTGCAAAGTGTTGCTGAGAGTTTGTATCAATAAAGAGGGTTACAGGAATGCTTTGTTTCATTGTTTGTTCTGAGAATTAGTAATGGAGTGTCAAAGGTGTAATAAGTGCTTTTTCTTATCTGGTATGTGTCTGTGTTTAGATTCGCTGTCAGACATCAGTATGTAACGCTGCAATGTTTCCAGGCCTGGTGGTTTTCTTGTTTAAGTTACAGCAGCTGCTCTTCCCTTTGCAGTGATAGTCCGAGCTGCTGACTGCAAGAAGGTGTACCAGATAGAGCTTGCTCCCAAAGAGAAAATTATCATCCTCATCTGTGGTCGGAACCATCACGTTCACCTTTACACTTGGGCCTCTCTGGACGGGACGGAAGGAAACTTTGACATTAAGCTTGCGGAAACTAAAGGCTGCCAATTGATTACAACTGGAACACTAAAGAAGAGTTCTTCAACTTACTTGTTTGTGGCTGTCAAACGACAGGTTTTTTGCTATGAAATTCACAGAACTAAACCTTTCCACAAAAAATTCAATGAAATTCAGGCTCCAGGAACTGTACAGTGGATGACAGTGTTCAAGGACAAGCTCTGTGTTGGCTACCAGTCTGGGTTCTCTCTGTTGACCATCCAGGGAGATGGACAATCTATAAACCTGGTAAATCCTAATGACCCCTCGCTTATCTTCCTCTCACAGCAGTCTTTTGATGCCCTTTGTGCTGTGGAGCTCAGTAATGAGGAATACCTGCTTTGCTTCAGCCATATGGGAGTGTACGTCGATTCGCAAGGTCGAAGGTCACGCATGCAGGAACTAATGTGGCCTGCAACTCCTGTTGCCTGTAGTATGTATATGTTTTTATGTTGCCATATCCCTGTTGCTGCTTTACTTGTCTAAAAATAATCAGCATTGTATTCTATTTTGCTTCAGTTTGTCTTTCAATATCTACAGTTTAAGTTTTGATGAGTTAACAGGATTCATAGTTCTTCCTGATGGTAGTTTTGGACTTTGCGATCCCGTGGGCTGAGATCCTGGATGCTGCAAGTAAAGAAGCTCTGTCTTGTTACAGAACACAGAAGAACAAACAATGGAATCGCAGAATCACAAAATGTTAGGGATTGGAAAATAACTTTTGCAGAGAGTAGTCCTGGACACAGGACAGTGCAAGACTACCGGTCTGTGAAATTCTGTAAAGATTTTTGCTCCCCTAGAAAGTGTAAATGTCTAGTTGTCTGTAGGATGTCTTCTGTGTCCTGTACTCAAAGTACAATAGAAAGTTGAAGAAGAAATGTAACTGTGACTCTAAAGGTTCATAAAGATAACAAACCAAGAGGTAAAAACATTGCTTTTGGCAGAACTGGTAACAATTTTTCTCCTTTTGGCTTTATTTTTAGGGGGGAAAGTTCCAAAAATAACATAGGCAGGTAGAGGGTAATTTTTCAACCACTCAGCTCATTTCAGGAGCACTGGTTTATCAGCTAGTTAGGCTAGAAGCACATACACAGCATTTTTCAGTATTCGGTAGTCAAAGGCAGTTCATGATAAAACTGGGATTTCTATGTGGAGCTCAAATAGCAATTGAAATGTTTTGAATGATTGAAGGCAAGAAATAGCTTTTTGTTTAAATAGTACAGCGAGCAGTTAGGTGCATGTTGGTTTGATCAGGCCCTAATAGCAGTTTGTTTAATCTTAATTGTCTTCAGCTGAAATTGTTTGCTTGCTTTACTCTGACCTAGTTCTGTACAGAAGTCTGAAGCAAAGGCCCAGGAAACAATGTAGTTGCAAATTTACTTTAAAATGCCATTAGCCAAAGCTAATGTTTCCTTTTCCTTTATCAGCTTTACAGTTTTTTGCATTTCAGCAAACTAGACTTGCTAGTTAATGGTTTTGTCTGTTATTATAAGAAGCTGTTCTTGCTGTAAACTGTTTTATAGCATTCTTGTATGTGCAGTCCTGAGTGGTGTTGGCCTAGGGCTTCTTTTGTAGAAAGAGCAACTCTTCCCACTGCCAGAGGAAACTGGATTACTTCCGTTTTCATTAGCCTTGTCCTCCCTCCTCAGTTCTGATGTCTGTCACTAGTGACGGTGGCATTTTTCAACTCTCCCATCAGGAGATCATCAAAGTGGAAATGGTTCTCCCCCTGTTGCAGTTGCTGCTGTGGTAAAGGACCATGTTGTAGAGAGGTTTCAGGATATGACGGAGAACTTGTCTTTAGGGCATTCAGTCCCCTCATGCCAGGAGAGGCTGAGGTCTGCGCTAACGCAGCCAGCTCTCCCGTCGCGGGTGGCCTGTCTAGGCTGCAGTTAAACCAGCTTAATGCGCTGGTTCTGTGCGGAGGCAGTGCAGGCGTCGTGGGCCTGCTTAGCTTGAGAGTGGGGCAGTGCAGAGACCTGGAGCCTGCAGGTCTCGAAGCTGTAGCGTGGGCAAGCCCAGTGCGGACGCTGACTTGTCCCTCTGGGAGCCAGTTGAGATCTGATCAAGCTCATCAGCTCTGACTGGTTAGTGCTGGCCTCGGCTACAAGCTGTTTCTGTCTGGTGCTCAGTGGTCTCCTTGATTTGGACATCCAAGCCAACCGTGACCCCATATAATAAATACTTGAACATTAGTCACATCTGGGATACATATTTATGATAGCTGTCCAAGGCTTTCTGTGAATGAATTTAAAAAATAGCACCACAACCTGCCTTCAGTTCTTCTAAGAAGATTCTGTGATGTGTTTAGTGTCCTACTGGGTTATTTTCCTTTTGTTTATCGAAGCAGCACTTTTCTCTATTAAATCCCTTAAATTTCTGGTAACTGCTCTTTACATCAGGGCACGGTCTTTATGTGAGCAGAAGCGTGTTGATATGAAGCTCTAGGGATCTCTGCTTTTCGTTTGACCTAAGATAAACTTGTTTGCTGATGCCTTTTATGCTTTTTAAAAAAAAAAAAGAAAAAAAAGAGTTGAAAAGAGAAAATAGGTTGTGGGCTTTAAGCATTGTGACATTTTTCTATTAACCTGATGAGAGCAACCCATACATGAATATCTAAAGCTAGATAATTGTTAGTAAAAGAGGAAGGAAATTGAGAACAGATCTGCATCATGACTTCATGACCCACCTCACAGATGGTGGCCCTCTCTTTTCCCCTGCACACAGCAGATGTATAGTTATTTTGCTGCTTCCGAAATGAAGTAATCTGCATCTGTAGAAGAGCTAGCTGCTCAGTTCCTACCAAGCAGCAAATTTGTATGCATCTGAAAACTTCAGATGCCATTTTGCAATTTCATGAAATCATAATTCCAAGTTTAAAAATACTGAAAGGGGAAAATTGAAATCTTTCCGTGATGCTGGCAGTTGTCATTTACCAGATCTGTCATCACAAAAATACCTATTTGAAAGTGGGGCTGGGAAAAAGTGGTTTAAAACATATCTTGCACGTAGTGGAAAGTTTGTAGCTCTTGAAATTTGCTCAAATATGAGTCAGTTCTGGACTGCTGAAACAACATTAGGGTCTTCTGTTTGTTTTATTGTATGCAGGCTGCAATTCTTCGTACGTAACTGTGTATAGCGAGTATGGTGTTGATGTATTTGATGTTAACACTATGGAATGGGTCCAGACTATTGGCCTGCGAAGGGTAAGTAATTTTCTTGCAATATAGAACTTAATGGGGTTAATTCCAAATGAGATGTTTCTTCACAGTGTATGCTAGCTTGTGTTAATTCTTTGCCTCCTCCTCAAAACAGATCAGACCGTTAAACATGGATGGCACACTGAATCTCCTTAACTGCGAGCCACCAAGACTAATATATTTCAAGAACAGGTTTGCAGGTGAGTATTGAATAGGGGGGAGAAACGGGAAAAATGATACAAAGCCAACTGGGTAATTTTAAGCAATGAGATGAAACTTGCATGAGATGGCACTTGTATTGGATGCTTCTGGGTCAACATGTACCTATGTATGTGAAATTGCATTGTGATATTACAGCAGGAGCTGCCCTCAGTGTACCAGAAACATCTGACAATAGCAAGAAGCAAATGCTTCGAACTAGGAGCAAAAGAAGATTTGTATTTAAGGTTCCTGAGGAAGAGCGAATACAACAAAGGCGGTAAGAATTGAATTGTGGTGTGTAACTTCATGTACATGATGACATGCAGAGACTGGGGATGCTAATAGAAAAAAATCACTCTGTTCTTCCAGGGAAATGCTTAGAGACCCTGAGCTAAGGTCAAAGATGATTTCTAACCCAACGAATTTCAACCACGTGGCTCATATGGGACCAGGAGATGGAATGCAGGTTCTCATGGACCTCCCACTGGTAAAACACATTTAAAAGGGAGGGAGATATATGTGTGTTTGTTCTTCCTCAGAAAAACTGTGAAGATGAACCATATGTGTTCAAGTATTATCTCTGTACCAAATTCTTCTTTTAATCATTTTGAGAAAGGTGAACCTTCCTGATGTGCAATGCTTCTAAATCCTGTGCAAGGAAATACTGTTAGCTGCTTTGTGAATGAGACACTGAAAGAAATAGATATCACTGCCAGGAGCTTGTTAGTAGTTTTGTTAATAATCAGTCTCTCCTCCTTCCTTTTTCTTGTTTGTCTTCTTAAAATAAC